ACATGCACAAGCAGAACAAGCACAACCTCCAGTTTCTCCACAACATCAAGCACAAGCAGAACAAGCACAAGCACAACGTCCATCACATCCTCCAGCACGGCAACAAGCACGAGCACATCCGCAACAACAACCATCACATCCACCTCCTCCAGTTTCTCGATAACATCAAGCACAAGCAGAACAAGCACAAGCACAAAGTCCAGCACATCCTCCAGCACGTCAACAAGCACCAGCACATCCTCAAGCACGTCAACAAGCACCAGCACATCCTCAAGGACGTCGACAAGCACCAGCACATACACCTTTCCACCTTCAAGCGCTGACGCTGCTGCCACTGAGCTAGTGCAGCTCTACGTCTCAAAAGGACACCACCCAACTGCTTGCAGCCGGTTTTTGAAAAGAAAAAGCGCCGATTACGGCGACCTGTGTGTGTCAACCCCTGTGCCAAAGGGTTCACTGCCAACTTCTACCTTTTTCACAGCAGGGGGCCATCCCCCTCCCCAGTGGCGGATGGCCAACGAAGAGGCCACTGGGGGGGGGCTGCAAACGTACCTGCCGAACTGTTGTACAAGCTGTCACTCCACTCTTTCTTTGTTTGTTTCCATGGTGGTTCATGCTACTTCCCCTAAACCCTTTTCCCTCGGTTTCAGCTGCCGTCCGCCGCTCGTCCGCTGCTGTCGCGAGTCTGCAGATGCGCACAAACTATTTGTTGAAACACCTTCAATTGATCGGACTCCTCACCTTGCCGTTGAGCCATTCCTTTCCTCGGAAAATTGAGTTAACTGAATACAAGTGTCGAAGTGTGTGTCACAGCTTCCCTTGCGATAGTCTAAGGTCCAAAACAGCATCAACAGGGACAAACTAACTACAATAATAACTTATGTTAAAGTTTCCGGCCACCAATAGTGTAGCCGTCACTATGACGGCCAGAAGGAGATATACAGAAGAGAGTTGAGCCTGTCAGCCAGTGGCGTAGTTGTTGATCTCTAATGCTGTTGACTGTTGATAAATGCCAAGAGAGGGACCCTTGAGACCTGAAGTGTCAGACCCTAATGGACTGGGTACGGATGGGCGAATGAGCTGGGCTTTTCAACCTCTCTTGGAGGGGGGCGGTCCTCATGCCTGAGATGGGACAGGAGCCCAAATGAGATCCTTCAATGCAGAGTCACAATGACCAGAGCCCAGTGAATCACAACGTTGGTTCTGGAATGTCCCTCCCCATGCAAGGAGCTGTCACTTAGTCGCCTCTAATCTTCTGCGGCATTTCTGGCCAAAGGACCAGTATCTCATCCCCTCCGTGAAGAAAAAACACCTCCCTCTCGAACCCTGCGGGTTCCGCGCGGCCTCTTCCGTGCGCCGTGCGCCCCTCGCTGCTTCCAGCGAAGGTGTTTACCTGTGGCGCCTGCGTAGTGCTCACAGTGATCCAGTGGGGGCGCCGAAGCGGCTGCAGCGCGGTGCTGAAGCACCGAGCTTCGGCCCGTTCGTGATCTTCCGCAGAGCCCCTGGCTGTTTCGGTCACCAACAAGCCTCCCAAGGGTCACTATCCGGAACTCCAAAAAGGTCACGAACTGAAGAAGCATGGTAATTAATATGTTTGTCTTTTTGTCACATCACTTGTTGCTGTTTCGATCGTTTGATCCAGGATGACTCCAGCATCCATGGGTATCCAGGACAGACTACTTGGCTGGAGGGTGGTTCGCTAAGCAGCAGCTAAGTCAGCTAAGTCAAAACACTTGGACTTAGAAGTACTTAGGTACTTATAACGTGGGGAGTAAAGAAGACAATATTTTTGACCAAGGCCTACAACCTAACCTATGACCGAACCATCATCATCCACTGGGCCCTGGTAATAGGATAGACCCAAGGTATCTATATATAGTTAATATATAGATGAACAAATCCTATGAGCCCCCTCCCACTCTCTACCCAGTCCAAACTGCCAGTGGCCCTGGTCCAAACTGCCCCCTGCCCTCGAGGCTGAGACGGTGGAAGTTTGGAGGCGAACTGGGCGGCCCCGTGGACGCCAAAGCGTACTCCTCCTTCCTGCCCGGGGTGCCCAGGGGACCGGGAGCGGACCTGAAAGACCCACCTGGGAGCGATTCCGAGTGGCATCCGGTGCTCCGGGGCACGGGGGGTGACGGAAGTCGTGAAGAACAAGACTTGGGTGGGGGTCCTGGTGGAGGGGAGTCTTTGTAAAGGAGTGGAGTGATTCTTTCGCGGGGGGTGGCAAGATAATTTTTGGAGCGTGTAAGAAAGAGAATGACACAAGATGATGAGCTTGACAATGGTTGATCTGAAAGCAGATGGAATCCGCTTGGCATGGTTTGTTGTTGAGTGTTTTCATGCGACGAACTGTTCAGGAACCCATCTCCCAACGAATTCATGGCAACCTCTCAGATGCCAAGTCTTTCGGAAGACCGAGCCAGCCGTGTCCGGAGGGACCGGAAAAAACGGTGGGGTGGACGGACCAGAACGTCGTCCTGGCCGGTTCTTGCCAAACAACGCTGGTGGTACCAAGGATCTGAAAGTGACAGTTAAACACCAGGTCAAGCGAAGGCATCTTCGAAGGGTCTTCATCGGAAGGCGGGCTTCAGTTTCGGACCGAAACATACCGAAACTGCAGAGCCGTCGACTGAAGAGAATACCTACGGCCCAGGTGGACTGAAGAGGTTCTGTCACGCCACACTTCTTTCAGAGAGGATGTCAGCGTCCGAACGCTCCGTAGCGATGCCGCGATGCCCTTGGTGATTCGTAGCGTCCGAACGCTCCGTTCGTAGAATAGCTTCAGTTGGAGATGACTGACAAACTGCAGGAACCAGTGGGGCAACCTGCATTCCTTTGTCCTTGTGGATTGGGAATCTCTGAATCTATGACGGTGCTGGGAACTAGCAGCTTCCATTGGGTGGCTTATTGACCCTTCCTACTACCTACCATTCGTTTGGAATTTTTGAATCCCATCCTTTGCGTGGTGAACTGGAGACAACAGGGAGCCGCTAGAAGAGACCCATCGTCCCGGAACTCTCGGAATCCAAGAGAGTATAAACACCGGTTTGACCAGGTGATCTGGCTTTACGTCGGTGGTGGCAAATAGGGTCGAAGAGCTGACTTCTTCCCAATTGGACTCCAGTCCTATACCAGAGACATCCGAAGGTATTTGATACTTTAGACCTGGCTTCATCACCCAGTCGCAGTCCCACCAAACCGTTTTTGAAGGAGGTAAAACATGAATGACACCTGGGGTTCTGAACGGGTGGGTTTAAAGGATCTCAGTGCGGTTCACATCAAATCTCCTCAGCGCCACGCCGCTGCCGCTGGTCGTCCCCGGATTCAGTCCAACGAACCAGACGACGACGGTCGCGTGAGCTCCTCGTCCTCTTCGTGCTCGTCTCGTCCTCTTCGTGCTCGCTTCCCAGGCTGGTGATCCTGTGGCTCTCCTACATCGGCCTGTCTGTCCGGCGCCGAGAGGAGCTGGTCCACGGGTCCACCCGATCAATCGGTCAGTCGAGAGGATCCCGCGTGAGTGCGTCCAGACCCGTCTGGCCCGAACTCCGACTTTGGGTGGACGAAGGTCTGAAACAGCGACCGGCTCGGGGAGGTTCCGGCTGTACATCGAGCCACGGCAAGGGTTTGAGTCGCTGGGAGTTCCCCAAGGACAGTCCCTGGGAGTGATCGTTTCAAACAGGTTGAACCAACCTCAGGGGATCAAGTTCGGTCACGAACAGAAGAACCAGGTGGATCATCTTTGGTTTGACACATGTCAGTCAGGCTACCAGTCTAAGGCAGACAGATGAACATCTCTTTGAGTCTCATGAATCTCTGCTTTTCAAGTGGGATGAACAGAGAGGGAGAGAGAGAGAGAGAGATAGAAGGACGGACGGACGGACGGATGGACGGACGGAAGGAAAAGGAAGGAAAGAAGGAAGGAAGGAAGGAAAAGGAAGGAAGGAAAAGGAGAAAAAGAAAGGAAGAAAAAGAAAGGAAGAAAAAGAAAGCAAAAAGAAAGCAAAAAAGAAAGGAAGAAAAAGAAAGGCAGAAAAATAAGGACAAAAAAGAAAGGAATAAAAATAAAGGAGAAACTGAAAGGAATAACAAGAAAGGAATAAAAAACAAAGGAACAAAAAGAAAGGAAGAAAACAAAAGGAATAACAAGAAAGAAAGACACATAAAGGAAGAAAACAAAAGGAAGAAAAAGACAAGAAGAAAAAGAACGGAAGAAAGAGAAAGGAAGAAATAAAAATAAACAAGGAAGGAAGAACAAGGAAGGAAAAGAAAGGACGAAAAAGAAAGGAACAACAAGAACGGAAGAAGCTGAAAGGAAGAAAGAGAAAGGAAGAAAGAAAAAGGAAGAACAAGGAAGAACAATAAAGGAAGAAACATGGAAAAACGAAAGGAAGAAAAGGAAGACAGAGAAAGGAAGAAAGAAAAAGGGAGAACAAGGAAGGAAGAACAAGGGAGGAAAAGAAAGGAAGAAAAAAGGAAAAAGGCAAGGAAGAAAAAGAAATGAAGAAAGAGAAAGGAAGAAAGAAAAAGGAAGAACAAGGAATAAAGAACAAGGAAGGAAAAGAAAGGAATAAACCAGGAAAAACAAAAGGAAGAAACATAAAGGAAGAAAGAAAAAGGAAGAAAGAAAAAGGAAGAACAAGGAAGGAAAAGAAAGGAAGAAAAAAGGAAACACGA